ACTTCGGCATTTTACACTCTCACGATCAAGATGGATGTCTGTTGATGTAAGGTAGACATGTTTGTACAGTTGAAAAAATGTAAGCGGTAGAAAATGAGGACAACGTTACTGAGAAGGTCAAATAAACAACTTTATCCAAAGCTTCCTATTAATGGCCCTTAAGGGTAAAAAATCACTGAATACAAATCAAGGCATATAATATAGGCAAGTAAAATAATTAAAGCACTATTGTACTGTATGAGCATAAACAATGAATATGGAGCAGTAGATTTAAGGTGACTTGGTTTGTGCATGTTTGTGGCAAGAAAATGGTACAATAAACAGTAAGGATGGGATGGAGACCAGAATGCAGAAAAATCCAAATTACTTTTGTACGGTATAGTAGGAAGGTAGCAAGTACAACAAATTATAATAATACTTCAACTTTTAAATTAAGAAGGATCTTTAAAATCAATTGGAAAAGAATTCATCCATTATGAATATTCATAACATATGTAATGGTTTGTGCTAAAATTAGTAGGAAAAAGAGAGAAGAGTTTTTATAGGATTCCTGCATAAGACCTTTTTTTTTTATCAATTCTAATAAGGTAATTTGTAAATATTACTAGTAAATTAAATATATGTTAATACTGTAGCTTAAGTAAGGTCAGATTGGCTGTAACCTCAGTTTCCAAGTCCTAATTACAGTGTATAATTATCTATAGAGCAATCAAACGATATACTGTAATATTGTATACAGCTATTTGATAATTTTATGTAGATAATATATGTAGTAAACTGTCTAAATTTCCAAATAATTGGCCTATCAAAAGTCATAATTCCACATCTATTGTACTGCATAGGCAGCAACAGAATATATACAACACTTGCAATTGGTTTGTAATACTGTACATCAAAGCATAGCACTTCATGAACACATTTTTTTTTGTAGCACAAAATTACGGTAGCTACAGTATGACTTAGCCAGTCGGACGCGATTTACTTAATCTACCATAAACGTGCATGTTTATTGTGGATTACTTGATGTTTTGCTCATGAAACCTTTGTACTGATCCTTTAAGAGGTTGCCAGAAATATTTTCCATTTGATTTGAAATAAAAAGCTGCTTTTTAAAGAGGGATTTAAAACACCATTTTCGCCAAATTTGAAACGAAAATTTCTGATATTGATAACCAATTTTCCAATATTTCAAAATAATCCCGATAAAATGGTCCATAACTCTATGTAATCTGATGATTTTGATGGCTTATACAATTTTTTAAGTTGGATGTGGAATAACTAAGTTAATTCATTCATTATTTATACCACATGGATGACAACATTTGCTCTTATTTGAAGGGAAACTTTTTTAAACATGAAATTCAATTACACTAGCTAGTGGTCAAAATTGCAGTCAATCACATTCCACAAAATTTTAAAATACATTAAACATTTTAACCTTTATAACATACAAGAATGCTTTACTACTCCCTTGTCAAATGTCTAGACTAAAAACTTTCTGTAATGCAAGCTGTTATTTTAATGATTTTATTCGTTTTTGATATTCAAAATTTGTAATGGGACCTACGGCATATCTATCAACAAAAATATACCTCGCTGCTATGGAGGTGTTCAAGATTTTACCAATACTATGAATACTTTATCTTACTTTATATTCAGCCACTGTATACAGATCTCATGACCAATATGTTAGTAGTTAAACAAAAAGAAACATACTGTTGCTTCAGAAAGAAGGAATTCACAATCCGAGACAACTCACTGCCAACCTTCTCAATGCATTAATGGCCATTGTATTGTAGCATGGAGGAATTCAGTAGTTTAGCTTCTATGGTTGTAGTAAACAGATTAAAAGGCTATGTTTCATAACATTTTGCTATTTATTAAAAAAAAGCCAGATAATCAATACATATTAAATAGCTAAAAGCACCTCCAAACTAACCCACATTCACACCACCCCTTCTCACAATAAGCATCCAAGGATGAACAATGCATTGACACATTGATGAAAACGCATTACAGAATATAGGGTTTTCCAGATTCCTAGGCTGTTCAGATGACAACACTATTGTGGGGTGAAAATGGCTTTGTTCGGTGCACTTTCATCTCGCCTCAGGATAGTACGATAGTTTTGATAAGCTTAGTCGCATACAAGTTAGTTACACAATGGTTACACAGGTGATTCAACAATCAACATCGTGTGAACCAGGCTCTCAAAATAAAATAAAAAACTCTCCAAATATACTATCAAAAGTGTCCAACAATTTACAGGTAAGGCATCTGTTGACTATGCGCCAAAGTTTAGAATCACACTTGATAATATATCCCATAGGGAAATTTCAAGTTGAATTTCACACGATAATGTTTTCCAAAAGCATGGGACATTTAACTAATGAATACAATCTGAAATTTTTTTTCAAAAATGCAGAAAATAATAAAACATTTATATTAGTTTTATGTTTATCTTAACATAAAACAAAATTCTGGCAATCATTAATTTCAATGACAAAAAAATAATATTATTTGAGAGATTAAAATATATATTTTTTATATTAAAACAATTTAAAATGATTAATTATTCACTAATAATTAGAAAATTAGCTGAACCTATAATAAAAAATGAGCTAAATATTAGAACAGCCATATGGGAAGAGCTAAAAAAGTAATTTATTGTATGAAAGCTTGGTGATATCAGATAAAAACAACTCATCCCTTCCTTAGGTCTTAGGATGTCACAAGAACCATTATCGAGGTCACAGGAATAATGGCATCTGAGAGAAGTATCGGCATATCAAACATACAGTATCAAATATAAAATGTTTGCCATTTCAACTTCTAACCTTTTTTTAAAACTAAACCATTATCTCTCACTCTCCAGCGATTCACATTTATTTGACATTCTTGAAAACCATTTATGAGGGCAAATCTAGGTACAGTAGATGGTTAATTTAGTATATTATTATTAATATTAATATTATTATTATTAATTTATTTATTATTATTATTATTATCAGTTGAAATGTAATCCATAAAACTGTTCTGTACAGTTATCAGTATATTAAAACCATCCAACAAAGTTATAGATATTTTGTAATTTAAAAAAAAACACCATTCCATTCCTATTTTAAGAGAGTAATCTACAACACTAATATGAATCTCAATGTATTACTTCTATTATATTCTGACAAAACATGTAACGTTCGATATGTCGGTAATTATTTACTGTATACTGATGATCAACACCAATTGTCTACCAATTAAAATCAACCTTTTTACTACAAATCAATTAATTTTACTAAGATTAAATCCCACCTTTAGACCAACTATCAATATCATCAATTTGACTATTGATCTGTCCTTTTCAAACAACTACTTAATGCCCATCCAAAGAGACATAATTCCACTTGTAAAGTACCATGAAAAGAATAATAATAACCGTAGTCTGTAGTTGCTAGACATTCACTACAACAAAGTAATTGAAATGGCATTGCTTTGATGATCTTGTCCCATTACTGTAAATTTGAACTGAATCATCTACATGTACAATATAACAATGTGTTTGATTTCTATATTGATATAACCATATATCCTATTAAACTGTCAATTCTATTATGATTTATATTAAAGTATAGAGAACATAAACATTTATAACTTTAATCTTTCTTACAACTTAAAAAATTACTGTACTGTACTTTACGCATGATAAAAACTCTCTATTTTGAAAGGTTGCTTATTTTTTACACCTGTTACAATTCCAAGAATCTGTTTTCGGTCAATCTTTTTCAAAATTTAAACACAGAAAATGTAGTACAGTATGTAGTATGAAATTCTTTTTCCAAGTTGTGGTGCAGTAACATTGACAGATATTAATTAATAAATTGCACTAAAACACACTTAGTAAGTACATATGCATACATAATTATTGGAAATTTATTATGACCATAATATAAAAATTACTTCATATTATTTTATAAAGTACGGTAATGTATTACAAACTTGTACTGTATCTATCATACAGGCTGTATCAATTTTCAGTAAAACATTTGAAATAGGATACAACTTGTAACAAAGCCTTTAGTCAATGTCATACTTTAATATTCAAAAAAATTTTAAATAACTTAAAACAATTTACGATGAATGTTTTTATATTTTTATAACCATTATTAGTATTAGTATTTATTTTTAAAAAGCATTGTTTCATCAATTAATGTTCCTTTCAGTTCTATTATTTAGGTATTAAATACCTAATTAAAACAATACATTCTACCAGTGACTCACATATTGACACTACAACTAAAGGACATTTTTAGGGTTAGTGCACCGAGAGTATCCTTTGATATGGTAATCTGTGACCATGGAGGCTAATGCTGCTTCAAACACATACTTGAAAACTGTATACAAACACCTAATTTTGAAAAATAGTAGGTTGGGAAGCTCTTACAGTTTGTGTAGGTTAAAAACTGATTGATAATATCCATTTATTTCCTGACCTTACTAAAATACAATAGTTAAAAAACCCTAATTTTTTAACTTAAACATTTCTACAATGAAACAGGTTTGAAGAAGCATCCATTTTCCACTAAATTACCACTAGCTGAATATCTGATGATCATGTTATAATTATAAGAATGAATAAAACCATTATATTAAGAATTATTTATTGAAAACAAGTTTTGGTGTACCATGGTCCTAGGCCAGCCTTTACAACTGGAAAACGTTATTATGCACAACATAAGTAAGAAAGTAGGTTAGCCTTAGGGCTAAAAAAAAAACAACATAGGCTACTGTTGTACTTATTATTATGTAGGCCTACCTGCTGTACACAGGAACCTGAATGGTACAATGAAAAAAACGTACCATGAAAATGAGGTAGAGTATCAGTATACAGACAAATCCAGTGTAACCACACAATATAATTTCATGAAGCACCACTTGCCCTCATAGAAAAAATGCTGCAGAGTTTTCATGAAGTGCTAGGCCTAGGCCTCTCCTCCTGTCCTTACCTGTAATAGATCCCCTTCAGCGGCCTTTCTTGAGCCAGCGGGGGAGAAATTCCCGTGCAACTCGATTGTGTCAGGCCCGTTGTCATCTGTGTATTCCATAGTTAATATAGCGTTCTCCTTACACAAAACTCCAAGGACTGCTGACAAAAACAGCACATAAGATATAACTACCATCTTGGTATCATTTCCTTCAAATTCCTGTGCATATTCAATCTCAATCTATCCAAATTGTATCTGTTTCTTGCCAAGTACTGTACACAGCACAACACCGCAGCAGTCTACACGGCCATGGAGCGTGTGTGTAGTAAACGAATGAAACGTTTACAAGAGAGCAGTCACTCTTTCAATCGCTACTGAAGTGATCACGTGATACAAAACTTAAGCACACTGTCTCGACTTTCTTGACTGTAAACTGTTTTGTTTTTAATTTCCTCTCAAATTAACTATCTCTTGGTGCTTATTATAAACACTTCGGTTCGTGGCGTTCAGATCTATCGATACTAATAAACAACTTCCCTCGTTAAGCATGGAAGAGGTATTCAGTCGGCAACTTCAAACGAAGTGACAGGCAAATTATAAATGTCAGCATAAAATCGCCTCGGGTTTTTCATATTTTCTAAAGATATACTTATATTTTACTGGTCATTGCCGCTTAGGAATACCGAAACATAATTGATCGTCTGTGTGACCTGACAATAATTTTACTTGATATGTCGCTGAACAATATAATGTTTGTGAAAGCTCTCAATAGGATTGTAGAAATTACAAAATTCGTTCGTGATAGTAATCCGAAACCATGATGGGAATTTTAGCAGCCTCATTGATTATCGGATATGTTCTGCAAGGAAAAAAATACCGACAATAAATATAATAGTGTATGTGTGTCTCGCCGATCATAGATAAATTATTATAACTTGCCTAATAAACTACACAATTTTCTAAGCAGACAAAGTTCATCGGATCGATCTCAGTACGACTAGTAATGGAAAATCTTCTTTAATAACAAAATTAGTCTTTTATTTGGTATTGGTTGAATCGAGATTGTCGCACTGATATCGTTGTCAGTCTGTTAATACTATTTGAAGACAATGTGTATTTGTTAACAGGCCTATAACTATTCCAATTTTACTATGTTGGCATCACAAAATTACGGAACCGATCGTTCTAATTAATATGGTATTTAATCATAGTCACACATAACCGTCGCTGCGCTTACACGACGTTTGGGCGCCGACAGGAACATTATTATTTGAAATCATTTTCTGGGTTAAAACCTCAAGATGTCTTTTGATGATGATGATGATGATGATGATGATGATGATGATGATGATGATGATGATGATGATGATGATGATGATGATGATGATGATGGACGGTGGTATGAAAACAATTGCAGAATTTACATTAAGTAGGCCTACCGTACATTATAACCAAAAATAATTACAAGAATTCCTGAATTTAGGCCAAATTTAACGTAATCCCTCAAAACTCATTATAACCAACAATAAGTACAAATATTCCTGAATTTAGGCCAAATTTAACGTAATCCCTCAAAACTCATTATAACCCACAAATAAGTACAAATATTCCTGAATTTAGGGCCAATTTTAACGTACTCCCTCAAAACTGGGGTAATTTTTAGCTTTGCCATTTTTTCCAGAGCATTTTCCTTTTATCACTGGAGACACAATTCTGGGCCATTTTCCCGAGGCAATTTTCCTGCCATTACATTTAAATGTAGGCTAATGGTAGGAGATTTATTTGTGCCTCATATATATAGACATATATATATATATGTATGTATTTATTTATTTATGTATGTATGTATGTATATTCGTTTTATTTTTATAGCTTCAATACGTCGACTTATTCAGTAAAAAAGTTTGGCTCGAGATAATTTTAGAGGGCGCTAATGTTAATTATGTTTTCCACTCACGATGGAGAATACAGTTTGGGCATCCTTTTATTCACTCTCAGGTTTGTTTATTTATTATTTAGTATTACAGAAAGACGGTTAAGAGTTTATTTATCATGATTTTGGAAGATCTCGTTAAGATGGGGCCGGCATATCGAATTGATCTCGAGAATAGACTAGCGTTGTTCCACGCATGGAAGAATGTGTAAACAGTCGCATTCAATACAATCTTTACATATCATTGTTCGAGCACTGCTTCTGTTATTATCTTATAATTGTATATAATTATAGGCCTGATTACACAATAACGTTATTTCATAATATGTTAGCTCATTACAGGCCTCGCACTGTCCACACGATAACATTTTATGTGGCCAATTATGATGTCACATTGCACCCAAATATGGGAATATCGTTATTTTGTCACACAAAATTTGATCGTGTGCACATACAAAGCTTTAGAGTGTATTCTAGCAGCCTACCGCGCCTTGCCTCGGCCCCAACTTGTTAAGGGCATATATCAGTTTTTTTAGGGTTGAAGTACATTGAAGTCTCTTTTGCTGCTGCATCTAAGATATGCTGTACTGTACCACCATGCATCAAGTTTCTCAATGGACAAATCAACAGTCCTCCGTGGTAGGTATCGCAATTGCCTAGATATCGGGATATTATGTCATGTTTGAAAAAAAAATGGGGGAAAATGGAAAAACCTCAAGAATAATTGAAATATTGAATAGCTCAATGAAAAGGATTAAAATCATCAACTTCCCGATCAAAAAAATATATTTCAAGGTGTTAAAGAGAGTTTATTCCGTGAATCCTTATAAATCGATTACCAGTCAATTTAAGGATCTAGGCCTATGCAATTTAGAATACAAGGAATGTTATAGGCCTATTATTTACATCCGGACTGGGACAATTTTCCTGTTACGCCTTAATGAAACACAGGCCTGACTGCTGGCAACCTTGTAACGATAGGCCTAGTAGTTTCAGTTCCATTTATATATAAAAATAACAATTGAGGCGAATGCATTGCATTATTTTGTAAATTATTTTGAAGATAGGCCTACTTCCTTGTCACAACGTTGCATTAAAACAACCATCAGGGGCGGATCCAGAATTGTTCCAACATGGGTGGGGGGGGGGGGGGAGCACAACATATTCAGAATAGATACGGTAAGTGAGTAGCGCTAATTTCAATAGGCCTATATGCATTGGAATTTAAAATTTAGTGGCAAAAGGTGGGCACGTGCCTCCTACTGGATCCGCCCCTGAGCATCGCAGGAAATGCTTTTTATTTTATTTAATTGTTATTTAATTATTATTATCGTCATTATCAACATAATTAGGCCCCCTATTACCATTATCAGTATCGGCATCATTATTAGGCATTATTGTATTATATTATTACAGGCAGGGGTGCAGAAAGTGCGGACGCACCCCTCCCCAATTTCCAAAAGGTTCAGTTTTTTAAACCTATTATTTCACGAAATCGTTCTAAATTATTTTAGAAACCCCCTCCAGGCCTCTGCCCCTGTACCCCCAAATTTCAAAAAGTCCACTTCTATTATTTCACTCAGAATCGTTCCTAGTTAGGCCTATAGCGAAATGCTAAAGTATGCATTGCATTTTATTTGCCAGCTCTTCTAACCGTTGATTTTTAATAATAATGTGGTACGGTATTAACAGGTCCAGTGATTGTAGATTGATTATGTTATCTGTAGGCCTACATATGTAGTGAAATATAAAGTTACAACTGAGCCGGCCCCGCCCTCCCCCAACACCCTATTTTTTTTTCAAAATTATAAAAGATATGAAGAAAAAAGAAAAATTATAATTAGGTCTGATAGTGCCATTTCCGGTCATCTAGGGGTGCCATAATCATAAATTGTTTTACCTTAGCCCCAGCCATGGTGGGTCTGAGGTGGTGTAGACCCTCCTTAAAAATCCCTCCATGTCCCCCCCCCCCTAGGCTATTTCGAATTCGTAGATTCGCCACTGCTAGGTCCATAAAACACCCAAATGAATGAACATTTAAATAAAATATTACGAATTATGGATTTCAGAAATCCATTATAAGGCCTTCAAAATGCTAATTTGTCGGAGCTTCCGGGACCCCGCCACTAATCCTCGTGGGGCGCCCTTTTTGTGGTCCCCCATCCAAGTCCGCTTCGCTCGCAAAACGCACCTTTCCATCGAAAATCTTGCATACGGGCTTGATAATTATTATTGAATATTTTATTGGCCTATCATATTTATTCTAATTATAAGTCCTATTATTATCACCATCATAATCCTCGACACTATTATTAGTGGGCTTGATATACTGTTTGTTATACTGTAACATTAATTGATTTAATCCTTATAGCTTTATAAGAAAACAAAAAACCGTAATTCATAAATGAATCCTACCTATCAGTGTTGTAAAAACCCATAAAATCTTGTTTTTAGGACCCATTTGACAGGCAAATTTGTCCGAAATAAATAAGCCTATAAACAATCATCATTGGTATTTATTATTACTATTACCGGTATTTAATTTGGTCAGTTTGGTTGGGTCTATAGTTGTTAACGTCCGATCAAAAAACCCTGAATTACCAGAGATCTACGGTAAAATAAATATAATTTCAAACGCCTACTTCCTGATTCAACAAAAACATCGTCAACGAAATTGTACAGTATACGGTAGCATTGCAAGGATAGGCCTACAATACTGATGGCGCAATAAAAGTAAGTTGTTGGAGGATTGTTTACATTTTAATCAATTATTAGATATCCATGTTCTCATCTCTGATCTAAGTCCAATTTCCAGTTATTTTGTGTTTACGGTTATCAGAGGGTAATGTACATGGTGTTACTAAGCGAGCGTGATATGTAAAGATACGACATAGGCATCAGAACAACTCGGCATTGTAAGTAACTACGTATTATTTCGTATATAAAAATGTCATAGTCTGCTTATTAGTTTTTAAGCATTATGGATAATAAACGTAATATCATGTCTTCATTATGTTAGCCAGGCGTACACTGCGCCCGACGGCCGACGCAATTCTATGAAGAACGCAACGAGACGACGACGCCGCGCGCAACGGATTATTATTAATGACGATCCGTTCAGACTTTAATTTCAACCGATAATCAACAGACAGGGAGCGGAGTTAGATTCGTCGGTCGACGGTTGTACGACGTATAGGCTATACTGAGTGACCGGCTTTAGGCCAACGGTCTTCTGAGCATGTGGACAAGATTCTCATTTTGTTATTGTATCTTACAGTACTTTGTTACAATGATTTTTCAGTTCATGTAGGGACCGCATTTTCTCCTTCAGGGGAGGATTTAGTGGCCAGGGCGGGCCGGTGGGGCGGGACAGTAAGAAGAAAACAAAAGGGGGAGAAGAAGAAAGAACAAGAAAAATTCCGGGAGTAGAAAACAAAAATTTCTCTGCGGCATTCCCCCGGACCCCTTAGGGTAGTGACCCTAGTCTCCTACTCCCTACTACGTTACCGACACATATGAATCATAATTAATATACACAATGGTTGATTAGTTGAGAATACTGTATTAATCTTTATTTTTAGTATTCAAGGTATTGGGAACTTTTAGGCCTACGTCGTCAGTACCATGAACGACATCACCGTATATCAGTTGTCAGTGATTGCTGTTCTTTTTGTCATCACTGCATGTTTATCATATATAGCGTAAGTAAAAACTAAAGTAGGCCTAGTGTTATTATACTATTTTGTAGTAAAGCATGTAAAAAAATTACAAATCTTTAAAACAGTAACATTTTCCTTAATCGAATTAGCAATTCAATGTAAAAATTTTACAACCGAACTCGGACACAATTCAGTTTTTCGCGAATTTACATTTCTTTTTTAACCACTTGACACTTGTAATAATCTTTAAATTGATTACCAGCAGCCATGTTCGGTTGATATAGATGTGGAGTGGTATTATTTGTTTTTGTTAACTGGCAAGGAAAAACATGTTTTCGTGGTCGATTGAAAGCTAATTCAAATACCGAATGGTATTGTTCAATTTTATAGCTTAGGACAGACAGAAGTCTCTACTTCAATTCAGTATTCGTTTAATTAATAGAAAAAAGCATAGGCCTATAATAGCCCAAACTATCAGGCAATCGAGGCCGATTCAGTAAATAAATTCAACTACCTTGTCCAAGTACTGTATACAGTTGAACCTGGTTTGATATTACGTTCAATAAGATTTGATTTTGTTCAATTCCATCCGACATCAAATTGCCTAGAGAATACAAACTTGACTTGAGGATACAAAACCCCTTCCTCAGTATACGGGGGCCTGCCACCTAAGTACTGAGCCTAATTTGAAATCGATTGGTCTCACGAATTATCAAATTTGGCAATGATTTTTATAAAAAGGTATTTGTTATGGCATTACTAATAAATGCATATATTTCATTATAGACGAAAGATGCCTTCGAACTCGGAAAGGCGTGTCGCTCCATTAAACCAGTCTGCCATTCCGCTTGAACCATCGACATCACAAATAGGGTTTGCCACAGAGGCATTTGTCGAAGAAGGAGAAAACAGCACACAACCTGTCGAAAACTGGAAAACTACCGCAAAAGTTACTCTGGAGGACACTGCTGGGATTGACGAATGCGGCATTATAGATGCAGCGATTATAGGCCTACCTGGTGCTGTAACTGATGAAATCGATGGTAGTGATTTGATGATGATTTGTGGTAATGAGGAAGGCAAATTTCGGTCCCAAAGCAGCCAATCAAGCCTCACAGACGATCAGGTGTCCACAAAGTAATTAATCGTTCTTGTTTCTTCGGGGGTGGGTGGGGAGGTTAGACAACAATGTGTTACGCATGATTGTCTATAAATGTTCACATCCGCGGTAACAGACTGCGAATAGGAAATAGAGATGATTATAGCTTATAGCTTGAAGTAAACAAAAAGAAAGAAAAAGAAATTATTGATCGGCCAAAACGCCTCAGAAGTTATTTCAGGGCGTCATAGAAAACACAAATTTCCCATGGGCATGCCTAAGGACCCCTAGGGTAGTATTGTCTCTCGATCGGCCCCTTTTCGGATATCTCTGGATCCTCCCCTGGTATGTTATTTTTAATAAAGGAATAGTTCATAAACCATTATGTTTTACCGTAATTAATCACTTTTTAAAACAAACTACTTTTTGTGACATTTACCCTCCGCATATTAACAGTCTAACTGTATTTACTTGCAAGTCTATCACTGTAACACATTCAATTATTGTTATATATACATATCTCTATCTTCCTCGGCATTCTCCCATCATCGTCTCGCCCCTACTGTTTCCGCCACTCGCCTAATCATCCCGCCGTCACCGCTTAATCATCCCGCCGTCACTCTTTCGCTGTCTTCATCCTCTTCACTTTTTACATCAACACAAAACTTCATGAAGATTTGCCACACTGATCTTCTTTCCGTTTCATATCAGAAAAGATGACGTATTTCAACAAGAGCAAAGCATACAAGTCGTTACTCCCAACCAGCCACCTTATGACTCGCACCCTTTAGGATATGGATACCAACCAGTGCCTGTTTCTATGGAACTGCCGCAGGCTCAGACAGAAAATCTAGATGAGAATCATGTACAAAACGTGGTTACGAACCCTGAACATGAAAATAACAACCAGTCAGTCATAGATACAATTGAGATCAATCATCAAACGAACACTGGCAAAGAGGCCATTGAAGATGAACAAATGCAAATGGATAGCGACAAACTGCAGCATGTTGTCGTAGACGCCGAATTATCTCATGAATTAACAAAAGAAATCGTGCCAGAGGATACTCTTATGGCGGACACGATCACAGATGTCGAAATGATGGCAAAATTAAAGATTAAGTTAAGAAAATCCACAGACAACCTAAACGCAAATAACGACAGGCAAGATAATTGATATTTTTCGAAAGAATTTCTTTGTTTTAACAAGAAAGAAGGGAAAAAATGCATACATACAAAAATAACAAACAAGTTTGATAAATGAATTGGGAGCAAGAGGATAACTCTATAAAACTCTCGGCCGCCAGTGAGAACGTGTTGGCCACGCGTTGTATCCAAGTTTTATGAAAGAATAAGAAAACAACATGGGTACCCATTTTATTTTAAGTTCAACAAAAATTTAGCGCTGAAGTTACCGAAAGTGTTAAGATTTCTACTACTCTAAATAATGTATATAACGTGTACACTGGTAAGAAACAATACGAACATACCTACGCGGGAGGGCGGTGGGCGCGGGGGGGGGGGAGAGTAAACCTCTGTAAAATTGCTCAGTACAGCAAAAAGATGAGATAAAATTTCGAAACAATAAAAGGAAATAAAAGTAAAAAATAAATAACAAAAGAAACAATCAGAACAAAGTTCACATTCATTGATTCTGATCGCAGGTAAACAAATAAGCATTTTGCAGATATCGTACGGGAACTGGAGTCAGTTGATCAAACATGATATTTAAAGTCCCTATTTTAAAATACTGATTCAATTTTCTGATCGGTTCGGTGAGGTTTCCGATTCAAAATTCGGATTTGGTGTGAATGCACCTTCAAACGATGATTAGCGAATCCATGTTGACAACACAACTTAATATTGATTTACTCTGAACATTGTTTAACTGGCATTCAATTAAAAACCAGAAGAAATGACAAATTGGCTCGCCATTTTCACACGAGGTCTTAATTTTCATTGCATAGACTTGACTTGTAAGTTCAAGTAAAAGGTCTATAAATAGAGAAAAACCGTCGTTTTATACACATGAACATGTTTTAATGTAGTTTTTCATATAATATTATCTTCAACTTGGCAGTTTAGAGAGCAGGTTCTCATAAATTATAATTAGATCAATTTTCTTCGTCTGTAATACAGGAATTCACCAAATATTGCTACTTCTGCTGTTGTGAGTATTAGTGCTGTGTCACCACAAGAAGCGCCTGCCAACGAGGGTGAAGCGGAAGATAGGGATGAAAACTCCTGTGGGAAAACCATGCCCATAATCAGCAATACTGACGAGGAAGTAAATGTCAATCAAACAGTGCTGAAAAATCATGTTATAGATGTCACTGCGGATTCGAATATCGAAACTAGATCAAGTGGTGTCGAAGTTAATGAGACGCAGGAGATTGATGAAACCTCGGTGGTGCACCATCTAAGTAGTCCTTTGGAAAACGAGTCTGAAAATTCTAGAAAACAAGAGGGCTCCGCTAAAGACGACGAGCGTACAACCCAAGATACAAGTCAATCCGATAATGTTGAATAAACACTTAAACCCCAAAACAAGGTTTTTAGAAGGGTAATTATCTATTATGGAGTTAATTTCAATTGTTTTATATCATGTGCCACCAATTTTCTTTATTATTTTCTGGGGTGGATGCAGGATTTGGCGGTAAGGGGTGCGTGATGAGTGCACCACCTTAGCCCCACCATGGTTGGGGATGAGAAAATTTTGAGAATGGACCACTAGGTGCCCAGAAATTTCACTCTCATACTTCTCAACAATACAATACATATATTTTTCTTAATACAAATTGGGGGGGGGGGGGAAACACCCTCTGCACCCCCACTTCCTGCATCTGCCCCAGATATATAGGTATCACGTCAATTAATTAAGGCTACTCAGCTTTGCCGGGGGGAGGGGGGATTAAATGATGTTTTACCTTTAGAAAGGGTTCAAACGCAAATGGTTAGATTTGTAGACCTACTCAGGACCACAACATACCAGTAAAGAGGTTCTTTATGCCAAACTAGGATTGCAGTCTCTGAAGGCAATTCAAAAATTGCCAACGTCTAAAGTTTGCCAAAAGCCTTACATGGTAAAGGTACGGTAATTGTAACATCTATGCACACCACGAACATAAAGATGTACTGTAAAATTCAAAATACAGCTCCTGAAAATTTAAAGTCAGAGCTTTCAGAGTGTATTGCAATTTTATATAATGTTTACAATGTCTCTTTTATTTTCTAGTATTTTATCGTATTTAATGTATTAGTACTTAATAATTTTTAATGTTAAGTGTCTACCTTTCTACTAGTATCTTTACTGTATTTTACTGCATTTCAATGTTTTTAGGATTTACTGTATTAATATGTTATCGTATTTGGTGTCACAACAATTTATTGCGCAATAGTTTAATGCACAACAATTATTTAGAATGTTATACATACAGAAGCATACATTCAATAAATTTTACTTTAGTACCTAGTCCTAGAATTTTCATTATTTAAATTCAAAATACTGCTCCTGAAAATTTAAAGTCAGAGCTTTCAGAGTGTATTGCAATTTTATATAATGTTTACAATGTCTCTTTTATTGTCTAGTATTTTATCGTATTTAATGTATTAGTACTTAATAATTTTTAATGTTAAGTGTCTACCTTTCTACTAGTATCTTTACTGTATTTTACTGCATTTCAATGTTTTTAGGATTTACTGTATTAATATATTATCGTATTTGGTGTCACAACAATTTATTGCACAATAGTTTAATGCACAACAATTATTTAGAATGTTATACATACAGAAGCATACATTCAATAAATTTTACTTTAGTACCTAGTCCTAGAATTTTCATTATTTAAATTCAAAATACTGCTCCTGAAAATTTAAAGTCAGAGCTTTCAGGGATTTCTCTACCACACCCGAGGAAATTGATGGCATGGAGACCATGCCAAAACTAATGTTACCAACTTAAATGTAGAACTGTTCAAAGAATTTAATAAAAACTGAGATATCTATACTATATACAGAACTGTGTTTGAATCAGGAGCTGTAGCTTGGGTTCGGATTTTGGGGATAAAACTAACCATGTACCTGGTAATTTTGACAAAAAGAAAATCCAGTGCAAACAGCCTGCATTGTTATTCTCTTTGGTGAAATAATCCAAGTTGCGTAATAAGTAAGACCGAAGAGTCTATGTACAGGAAGAATAACGAGGCTGTTTTTCCCCACGCATTGCTAAACTATCACAGAATTTATCAAATTTACAATGACCATGCATAGGCAAAAGCTTACATTCTTCTATGCTTCTACTATGTATTTAAATCCTCCTAGTGCAAACAGGCACACGATTTGACAAAGGCAAAGTTAACTCGTCTTGGTTAAATTTAATCCAATGCCTTTACCTCCAAATGGTTCTCTCCTATAATTGGCAAGTGAAAATGGAAGTTGGATGTGAAAGGAAATAACTAATATATCTGTTTTCGATCCTCTGCAGGATGAAGGCATAAAATATTTCCACTTCTTGATTTTTAACAATTTTTCCCACATACCATAGTGTAAATAAAAGTACATCATGTTCAGGTTTTGGCAATATCTTTAATTGGCATCCTCCTGATGCAAGAGTTACATTAAACAGAATTAACTAGGATATGTCTATCATAAAATTGTATCGAGATATGTCATAAATCTACTTAACTAAACATCACACACTGTATACATATATGAGATATCAGGTACCTCATAATACCTTAATCTCTTAGCTAATGGCAAAACACACACACAGATAAGCTTACAAAACTGTACAGTAATATATATATAAATATTCATTGTAATACAATATATATATCTCCAAATATACATCATCTTGTGTTTCATAATAACTTACTACTGTACAATGCTAAATTTAGCTTCAATTTAAAATTATTCGTAATAATATATAACAAGAAAATAAAAATGAACACAATTCAAATGGCTTCTGAAAACCGCTGTCATCACATGATTATTTACATTGAACACATATACATCCTGCTATGCTTGTTGAAAATGTTTTTCCATGAGTGATTGGTTTATAATATTTATTTTTAGATTTGGGTTAAGTCTAGATGTCTAGATCTAGTGACAGGAGATAATATAAGAATACTTTAGTAAAATGCATTCGCACTTTTAGTACCAAAGCTTCACTTTGGAACTTTCTCCAACATGCTTGTTTCAAATACAAAAAATAAAGCCAGACTATGAAATTTTATTTGACAAAAATTTGTTTTATGCCCATATATAGTCATGATGTGCCTATATATGGTCATGTTTATTTTATTTTTTATTTATTTTTTATTTTATTTTTATTTATTTATTTATTTTATTTTATTCAAAACATCTTTTGTTTTGGCAGGATGACATATAATACAGGCGAGATCTTACCGCTGTTTTACAATATGGTCCTGCAAAAACACTGTACAATAACAACTAACAAAATGTAACCAGCACAATACAATAAAATAAACAATATTAAAAAATTTGGTGGAAAACTATCCCCCGCCAGACACCAACCCGGTACTTCTGAGTCAAGGTTTCGGGGCCAGAAATTAGTGCTCAAGGTTAAGCTTAACTACATAACTTAACTACAATATGGTAAAAACTATCCCCCGCCGGACACCAACCCGGTATTTCTGGGTCAAGGTTTTGGAGCCGGGATTACAAGGTAGGACAAATACTGTACAATTACTTAAATAGGTAAATATGGTAGAAACTATCCACCGCCTGGACACCATCCCGGTATTTTTGAGTCAAGGTTTCGGGGATGGGATCACAACTTTTGATGTGATGTCATTATGATCACATGTCATGTTTTTATCAAATAATATTTGATAGTCTGGAGAGGGCGTAAGGGTTCTAATAAATATGAGCCTGGTACCGACTGCAATTCAATGGAGAACAAAACCCAATGACTGGGGCACGTAATGCATCGCTTTTTAAAGAAAATTTGTCAGTCTGCCACCAATCAGCAGACAGCATATATACTGTAGTGTCTGTGGCGTTGTCAAGTCCATACACAGCGCAGAGACTGATTTTTCTGGCCAATGGTTTTGTGATGCTGTGTGCCTGGCTTTGAAGTATGCATTTAAATACTTAAATTTACTTAGTTTTTTTTAACATTTGAATAGATTCTTATTTTATTATACAGGAAGTAAGTGAAATACTGTATTGAGTGGAATTGATCAATGAAATATTCATGAGATATAGTAATCTGCACCAACCACTCACAATTTTGAATCTATACACCTAGCAATAGACTATCACATTCTTTAACTAATAATACCAGAGCTATACAATCTATACGATTTTAAAACAATTTGATCTTTTGTGTACTTTGTAACTCTAATCAAGGTGACAATCCTTATCATATACATTTCTACAACAATCCCTGAGGCAAACTTTAATCATTAACCTAATTATAAACATGATAATTTCAGCAAACAATGGAGTTTATTAAGTTTAAATTATATTTTTGAGGTTCTTGGTCAAATAACCTGCTCAAATCCCCAAAGGCCTAGGACCAGGTTGTTGTGGAGCAGGCAGGCCTGAGGTCATGTTTCTGTTTCCTGGTTTCCTTGGTAAGGATACAGTGTTACCTGAGTGAGGGCGTCCTTGTGAGTTGAATCCTGACTGTCCATCATGTCTGCGACCTGTGGCATCCTAAGAGAATGAAATTTGTATAATGTGAAAATCTATCTACTTTGCACGTTGTTCGATTTTAGATTTTATATTTCTAACCAATTATAATGAAATTTTAAGATTTTTTTTGTTTGGATGTTAATGTTTTAGTATTCTGCTTTTGCCAAATGAAGATGCTTTTCTTTTCTTTTTTTATAATAAATAAAGTTTATTCCGGAGGTCCCAAGTCTCGGGAGCCTCCCGGAAATTGGGATGGCCTCCTGCACTCCCGCAAGCGAGCAACAACCTTTGAGAAAATGAGCGATCTCCTGCAAATTCAGATATTTGCATGTTTTTACTACGTTATTATCAAATGTCTCAAAGTAGTCATTGCCGATCGGTATCACCATGCACAGCAAAATATAATTAAATATGTTAAGAAAGTTCATTGAACCATACCTCCCGGAAGTGATTTCTTTCAACTTTGAACCCTTGGTATTCATATTCGTAAATTGTGCGGCAGTGTAGTGTGGAAGTTATGCAATTAAAATATAATAAATATTTGAGAAAAACTTTCATGTAATGTAACAATTTTAGGAAATCTGTTAAATTATAACCTATAACAGAAATAAACAGAAAATGTAATACCAAATTTGGTTCTAATTATAAAATACCATTACAATTATAGTGACAATACATACCCTGCTATTGAGATCGATAGTTCTCTGTGATGATATAGGCACAGTGTCTATCTCATTGGTTGAATGGGACCTGCCTCTTCTACCTGCGTTTGGAATCAGATTGGGCATTTCGGAATGCCTCGGACTGGTATCCCTACTCTCCCTTGGTGTGATGGGTGGTGCAGGTGCTGATGGGCGTACCTGGGGTTCCCATGCCACCTCCCATGAACTGTTTGATCTTGGGGAGCTGTCTTGAGAGCCTGGAGGCCTGGCCACTGCTGGCTGGTGTTGTTTAGGCTGGGAACGAGGTGAGCCTGGTGGTTGTAGAGGACTGGTGATACCACCAAGCACTCTGCCACCAACACCACTACCTGGAAAGATATATAATAATCATTATTGATAACTTATCCAGCATGTGCAATAAACTAATAATAATATTTGCATTTTGAATTGTAAAAATTGATCAATATGTTAAACTTATGTAGCACTTCATGCCAATAAGGCCAGATCTGTTTAAAGTTTAAAGAAAATAATATACAGCACTGAAAATTACATACTTGTTTTGTTTCATTGTAAATCAAATTTTAATAAACCAAAATTATAACAACTAAAATCACCCTCAAAGAATTTCATCTGGTTCCATAACTATAGTAGAAAAATTATCTGTTTTGTTGACTCAATTAGTTGCTTACCTTAGAACCGAAGCAAGCGTTGCTAAGGTAAGGAACTAATTGGTTAGATAATTTTTCAACTAAAATCACCTTTTTATAAGTTATTATTGCTATTGTTCATGAAGAACTTACCATTGATAGGTTCAATAGTACTAGCTTTCAGTGGGCCTATGGCAAGTGCGCCCTCACTTGCACTACGTTTCTTCTTCTTCTTCTTGCCATGTTTACCCTGTTTGCCCAATGGCTGACCATCAAGAGGTAAAAGTGGACGTTGGGCTAGTGGTTGCATCTTGCCCTGGAGTAAAGGGGCTGGACCTAGTGGACCACCACTGCCTGGTAGTTGGGTTCTAGGGCTTGGGGTTGGTTTCATTTCCATGGAATGCATCTACATGGAAAACGAAAAACAAGTCACATAACTTTACATGGTAAACATTTAAGAACTAGAAAATGAAAAATGCAAAATAAATTTGTCCAACATGTCAAGTTATCATACTGAATACACAGATGAGGCGAGACTTTTTCCCGCCGTCATAATGATGATTTTGAATAAAAATTACATTTTATTTTTGGCCAATTAGAGAACCCGCTGCTGCTAAAAATGGAAATTTCAGAGAAGAATTTAAGTTTTTATGTATTCTTATTAAGAGCACTGTTGCCTTGAAATTTAAAAAAAAAGAAATGTATATTTCTTTCCAATTAAAATAAATTTGAAGCATTTAACCATCCCATTACTACACTGTTTACATTCATCAATAACATTTATTTTTATTTTCTCCTCCGTCTAAATGTTTTTGGTAAAATTATTTGCTAAATAAGAAAACAAAATTTTATTTTTATTTTTTTCCCACCCTCCTCTGACGACATATAAAAAAATAAGTTCGTGAAACACGGAAAAAAAAAGTATTGTCTGATAAAAAAAATTGAAAGTAATGCTGGTAGGAGTTAAACCAATGGTTTCTATGATTAACTGAAAGATAGACAGGCATATTAACATAGACAGTTATGATCAGACATGCCAACTGCTAGATCCTAAGAAAAACAAAGCAACTACAGTATTACATTGAATAATAAAACTCACAGTTATCTGGTTTTGGGGTGGTGGCACCTGGGTAGTGGGTGATGACATCGAACTAGGAGCTAATGGTATCGGGTTTGAAGTAACTTGCTGTTGATTGAGCATCTGGGGTTGAAAGATTCTCACTGGAGGCGATGACGGAGGGTATGGCGGTTGTACTTGAATTGCAGGTGTGATGACTACATGTGCTGATTGACCAGTCGGCATGGGCTTGGCAGGATAAGATATGAATATTCATTAGGTAATAATATTAATTGCATCACAGATATAGCACATGCGAAAAACATACTTTTTGAGGTTAGAAAGCGCAGTTCTTTTCCCTGGTTATTGGGTCCACATGCTTTGCAATCAGCGCAGGAGCAGGCAACCCAACCAGGTACCCACTTATAATCCTGAGTGGAGAGAAGGAATGCAGATGAAGTGCCTTGCTCAAGGACACAAACGAAATTCATGCTGAGGGATTGAAGCCCAGTCCTCGAGGTTGGAAAACCAAACAGTTCCCGCTGCGCCAAACCGCTTCCTATATAACCACTACTGAAGATATAATTTATACTAAAAGGAGTTCACACATTGCATTGGCCAAAGCGAAAAGCAATTTTATGGATACTGCCACAATGTGTACATAATCTCCAAAAGTAAGTCACTTTCATTTCACAGTTATGGGTTACAGATTGTGATTAGAATAAAGTGTTTGGTACCATTGTAAAGCTAAAATGTTTATAGCTCTTGTAGTATTCACTGCATGTTAATCTGATCACATACGCACTCTGAACGAGCTTCGAAAAAGTGTTAAAATTTGCTAAAAAGGCTGGTGGTGGTTGAAACTATTTTTTTCAAACCCCTGGCAGTCAGAATGTATTTGTTTACTTTAAGGTTTCTGAAATTTAGTTAAAAGTACCTTGATTTGTGTGTTCGTATTTATAAAAAAATTGTCATTACAGATTTTTCAGGTTAATGCTGACATATGTTTTAATATTTTATATATATACACCAAAATATATAAATGTAAAAATCTATAAATACTCTATATATAAACAGTATTTTAACACAGATAACGATGACAACTATTTTAAAAACAAATTCAATCTTAGAAGACATGTTTTTAATGTCATAACAGTTGGAATGGATAATTATACAGAAATGAGTAGCTACCTTTCTTCTAAAGTTTGAATTTATTATGAAATATAAAATGGAATAATATTAAATACCTTTCCTGGAAGGTGTATCACCATCTTCATTCATTTCAGTCACTATAGGAAGATCAGTACTCCTACTAGGCCTGAGCTCATTAACATCCTTAAAAAAAATAAGATGACATTATTAAGAAGTTACAGATTGGTAAACGACTATGATCTTAAGCCTCAAATCATAATGAAAAAGTATGTTATAGCGCTGCTAATGATCCATACAAAACACAGCTCTTGCAAAGATAACTGGACCCCTCACATTGTAATACCAGGACTACTAAGGATGCAGCAAAACAGTTTTATTTTAGTCACTCACCACATTTGACATAGCTAGCCAACAAGATTGATGATTTCCTTTAATTAATAAAGCATTCATAAAGATACAATACAACAGGGTCTAAACAACATAACACTATTAGGAATGACTGGAATACATATAATCTATTATAAATAAGTATAGAGCTTTCTTTGATATCGAGTAAAATTAAAAATTTCTTAAGCCATTCTAAGAATGTATAATAGCATATGGGGCTGGCCATCTATAAATCAGCGTACTGTCGCTAATTGTTACTGAGTAATTAACATAAGAATGTGCCAGTATTGTATACTTTAGTACAGAGAAGCTGTAATACTTTTACTCAAACTTTGGCAATAGTAAGTTGATTCCAGTCAATGACCCATAATTTTAAGCTTTTAATGTGGAGAATAAGAATTATTAAAAAGTCAATTTTCATTTGTTGGTCACTGATACTGGTTTTGGGATGGCAAGCCTCATATGGTTAAGATAGGAAGCAAAACAAAAATTTAAAAAATGTATTGATTTATCCATGACATAGTTACCCCTGCCATATCAGCATCAGTTCTATTGGGATCATCTTCAGGATACATGTCAGCAAAATCGACATCATTTACATCTTCCATCTCAATAGGAGGAGCAGATGGTGTCCCCGAGACCAGTTCTTCCTCGTCTTTTTCGGTCACCACTACGGAATCACCTGGAAAGGCTCTGATTGAAGGTGGTGTTATTTTACGACCCAATGGACGAGGTTTTCCAGGTGGCTTTGGTAGTTTTTCACCAGGTAGTGGTGAAACATCTCTTGAAAATATTGCACTATTGTTATTTATTTCAGGGTTTTCATTCTGAGAACAGAACCAAAAATATTGTAATTTTTAAAGATATTATATACAGAAAATATTCTATGTTGTTTAATAAAAATGTATGAAATAGATAAAATTTCATACAACAGTAATTTATATAAAAACCTTTTTGTAAATTTTCCTTGTTTACAATCTCTCCTGAATAAGAATGCTTATTCTTGATAGTTTTAACTGTTTTAAAAATTCACTTTACAATTCTATATGTTTTCTGTAATTGTATTACTGGCATTTTATATTAATGTTAATTTTAATTCCAATAGTTTATGCCAATCTGTTTGAATCTCCTATATTGGTTCTTTATGTATATTTTTTTGTAAAGATGTTTAGTATAGGAGAGCCACATGATAGTGCTTACAGTTTGGGCAATCCCCAGGTAATAAACATCTTGTTTGTGTGTGTTTTGCCTTGTATTGCTTTTACCTGGATATTGAATAAATGAATTGAAGTAATGTTAAGACTTACTATTAAACAGGTAATGCAAATTACAAATATAATTTTAATCTAGAATATGGGGTACGAAATGGTAACCTTGTTATTAATTCATTTTATTTATTATATTATTTGGGTGAGTCGAGTGGCCGAGCGGTAAGGCAGAAGCACCGCTAGCTACAGCATTAACATCGGTGCTGCTTCCAGTCGCTCCTCGCCCATGGTTCGGTTGGTAGAACCAAGTCTTCTCAGATAAGGACTTAAAATAGAGGCACAGTGTATACCTGGTTCGTGTTCGCAAGAGTATTGGTTTATCCTAATGCTATGGTTCATTTCAGCCGCTGTCTTTGTGGAATGATGTGAACATGTAGCTGCTATAAGCGGCTCTTTATGGCTGCTTGGTAGTCACAAACCACGTCCATATGCAATTCAGCACAATGACGCTGCAAGTTATGGGTTATTCTCCTACCTTTACCTTTATATAGACTTACAGTTATTACACATCAGAAATACTCAAACAACTTTTATCTATTTCTGGGGTATGGGGAAGGAGCAATATGATGTACAAATAACTTACAGACAATTTTCGCTGTCCTATATTATTCCTATCATCAGAAATTCCAACTGCTCTACCATCAGCTTCAGGTACAACTTGGTTCTGGTTTTCTTTCTTCCTTTGTTTCCGTTTGTTTTTATGTTTGAAGAATGAATTCAATATAAGTGAACAGTAGTGGAGGTTCTTATTACTGGCATAGTCCATTGCTGTTGCATCATATGTATCTCTGTATTCAAGATTTGCTAAAAAAAATCGAACAGAAGTTTTAAGTTACTTAATAAATTTAAATGAGCTATTAATGTTAATGGTATATCTTTAAACATGTATTGTATAACAACACTAAATATTTTAATTGCTCTGTAGTATATCTAAATGAACTATTAGCTTTCAACTGAAAATTATAACGACTGATCTCTTTAGTCAAAAAATTTTCAAATAAGGAGGGGGGAGGTTATTTTGCAGCCAAATTACAGAGGGTGACAAACACACCTACTACATTGTGAAAAATTTGCAATCTGGAATGAATGACTATGCAAGCAAGTTCATACATGGATTACCTATGTTTGTGCCCATAATGTGCTATAGTTTATAGTGATCATTGCTTGTACCACCACGAAGGTAATCTATTTACTTTATCAATATGAATGTGTTTTGGCCTCTAATATAAAGTCACTCCGTTTTATTTAAGAAGAAATTGCCATATGCTGTTGGATTGGAATAAAAAAAAATGCAAATTAGGTATAATTAGAACTAAGTCTATAGAAATCATACATTGTTCAATGTAGTTACTGTATTTGTAACGTAAATGCTTTTTCTGCATGAGTAAACTATTACTGAACTTCTCATGTGTATTTTCTTGTTATTCTCTGTTTTCTGTATATCCCTGGCAGGGAGCCAGGGTCACTGGCATGCATGGAGCAGCACATCAGGGTTAAAAGTGGGTTACCTGATCCTAACGATGTATACATACCTCCTTCTTCTAACAAGAAGTTGACAACTTCTCCGTGTCCACTGATGACAGCTAGATGCAGGCACGTTCTATGTATGTTATCGGTTTCCTTTAAACATGACTTGCCAACCATATGTAAGATAATTTTGCATGCTTCCATAGACCCTGAGTTCATCAGAAAGAAATCACATTCAAGAAAATTCAACAACAAATTGCTGAAATTTATACAGTGCCTTCTATTTCTAAACATCTTAATTCTTATAATACTTTACATTACTTTCTGGGTCATTAGAAATTAAATTAAATTAAAAACACACATGCAATTAGCAACCACCTCTGCTTTCTGAATAGTTTCCATCAGAATGGAGGACTAATAAACACAGAATGAAAACATTAATCATAGTTGATATATATATCTCGTTCATATTTTGACATGTTCATAAATTTATGATAGCAAGAATTTAATTAAATTATCATGCGAACTAGACTTTTTTCTTATACATTTTACTGTGTGGACTTGTGATTACATAATTATTTAATGCTATTGCTAACTTATTTGATGTAGTCTTTACTTATGTAATGTACATATTTGTTCTGTTTGTTTCTTGTTTAAACTGTTTATTGTATTTGCTTTTAAGCTTACAGGTTTGCCCTCTGGGATTGATGCGAGTCTGTTTATATACAATACAATACAATTATTGCCAGAAATAAAGTTTATTGTATTGTATTGTATTATAGTATTGTATTTTAAACCGAAATAAATACATAAAAAATAAACTAAAAACTTTTGCATCCTACTAAGTATACATTTATATCAGAAACTGAAACAGATAAATTGTCTTGCGCACAAACACAACTTTAGGTTTGGCCTTAACACTAACCTTGTTCTGCTGCTACATGTAGTACTGTTTTACCCTCATTGTCCCTTATAGCAACTGTATCTGGAGTTATTAATTTCTAAAGAAATAAATGAATGATGATAACATAAACATAATGATAATGAAAACCATGTTAGTAGTGATAATGAAGATGATATCAACTACTATGGCGACAGTAGCGACAACTACAATGTTGATGGAGACATAGAATTAGGATGATGATGCACCATAATTAAAATGAATAAAATGATGAAGGTTATGATAATGATGGTGATATAATGATGATAATAATAATAGTGAACATTTATAATGCGCCTGTATCCATCAGAGATGCTTATGGCGCAAAACAGAAGTCGAGAGAGTTGTTAACAGTTTGTAATCTTAACTATGAAAATAAAAATAATAATAATAATAACCGTATCCCTGGTGGGGGTGGCTTTAGGAGTGCCTTTGCTTGCCCAAGGCAGATATTCCTAATTAGCAACTCCTAAGACTCACAGAGGTAAGGAACATCTCATGTTTCCATTTATGGGCTGCCCCTTAAAGGGGGTCCCACACTGCTGCCCATACAAGAGTGGTCTAAACTTAATGCCTAAAAGTACAATATTAAATTTTGTGTGTAATTTAGTGTGTAATTATCGTAATGATGAAGTGAACAAAAACGTCTTAAGCTGATTCTTATATACGCTGAGGGAAGTACTTCGTTTAATGTTATCTGGTAACAGATACCATAGGTGTGGTGCAGTGGCTGCAAAAGAACGTTTTCCCCAGTTGTTGTGTGTGCGTGGTTCATAGAGCAAATTTTTGTTGTTTGATCGTAGACACTCACGCCTTGGTTTGAGCGGTATAAGTAGATTTGAGATGTAGGCTGGAGCAGTACCAGTTTTTGTCCGATAAACATAGGTAAGAATCTTGAAAACGATTCTATCATGTATGGGCAGCCAATGTAATTGATGATGATGGTTTTTAATTAATTCAAATTAAAATTATCTATGATTACCTTTAGACATTCCATTGGTTCTGTACGCCTCACTGCCCAATGTATCCATGTCCTTCCCCCTATATCTCGCTCTATTCCATCAGTCTCCTCAACCTTATTACTCGGACAATTTAATAACAGGTCAAGGTGTCTAGTATTATCCATGCGGCATGCCCACATCGCCGGTGTTAGTCCATCTCGGTCCCTCGCATTCACATCAATGTCAGTCCTTAATAGGAGCTGCAGATTACATAATGACGATTACTTTCACATAAGATACAGTAAACATATATAAAATCTTTTGCTATAAGAATTAGTCAGTTTACACGACTTGGACAAAAAAAATATCTCTCTCTAATAATGTAGCACGATTGTAAGTAAAGAGATTGCACGCAAAAAGTCCCCTGTCACATATATAACATCTCATCAGTTGAAAAAAAAGTACAAAACAGAAATAATCAACCTCCACTAGGCGAATTTATTCGTGCGAATCAAAGACGTCGTTTCGGTTCCTGAGATTGGTTGCGCACATTTTTCACTTCACAAAAAGAAGATACAGTCCGATCTACCAATTTCGCTGACAATAAATAAATTCTCAAGATAATAAATTCTCAAGTAATTTCTGCCAAAGTTTATCCAATCTGGTAATGTTAGTGATGCTGTGCTTGTGCATTTAAAAGAGTATATAAACAATATAATTGATTTACTAGTGTCAGAAGGGTGGGAATAAAGATGAGTTCACATATTGTTCAAGTTTTTTGTATTAAATACCTGTGATTTGCCTATATTTGGATGTGCTATGACATCATCATGAGTATAAACAGTATAGGCAATTCACAGACATTTTTCATACTGCGGACAAAGTGTATACAGGTCTACCTCCAAATAAAGACCACTTCGCTGGTTTTCATGGTCTTTAGCAGCTTTGGCCTCTAATTAGGATAATAAAAATACAAGAAATTAGTTGACTTGGGACCACAGAAAAGTGGTCTTTAATTGGAGGTGTTCTTTAATTAGAGGGGTCTTTAATTAGAGGGAGACCTATATTTTCAAAACATGAATTAGAAACTAGAATTAGGTAATATGCTAATCAGACTATTAAATACATTATGTAAATAATGTAAATGGACTTAGAATGAGTATGTGTAGATGTATTGTAAATGAGACTACACTTTTACTCCAAACTGATATGTAAATAATGCAACGGCAAAGTGTGTGTACAAAGATGTACGGTAACAACTACTGTAAAGCATACAGTAATTGATTCACACATCGTAGTCTCCCGATGAAGTCCACTGTGTGAACAAAAGCAAGAGATAAATTATATATCATGATGAATATAAAGTGTAGCCGCGTTTGTCTGTTATAGAACAATATAAAATAAATGAGAGCAGCACTTTTGAGACTAACAATATTGAATTTAATCTCTAGCTTTCATCCACACAGTGGACTTCATAACACTCTCCTGATGAACTGATGAAGTCCACTGTGCGGACAAAAGCTAGAGAATAAATTCTATATTGTTAGTCTCAAAAGTGCTGCTATCATTATTTTATAAATTATATAGTTAGTTTTAAAATGCTGAGATCTGTCATTTCTTATGATTCACACATCTAATTACTGTACATGATGGAAAAATCAGAATGTTTATATTTAGGCACAAAGAATGACAGTTCATAACAGCACAGCTTTTTGCTGTTCTTACAAGTGACTCACCTCCATATTGGCACTGGACTCGACCATGGATGCCCAATGGACCGGTGCTCGCCCATAGCAATCTTGGATTGTAACAGCCGGATTGTATTGAAGCAGGATTTCTAAAGCTGTGTAATTATTATCATACACTGCTCTGTGCAATGCAGTTGAGCCATCTATAGATACAAGAATAATTTATATTTAATAAATTTAGGAAAAACTCCGAATGCCTTGCAATTATGTAAAAAATTAAAATCCAATTCGGCTTTGTTCAAACGAAGAGTAATCTTTTCATATTTTCTTAATAAAGAAACTGGTAATCTTCTTGAACTGAAATCCTTGATAATAGAACCAAATGGAATTTAATATTGTGACTCATTATGAAAACTTTTTTGTAGACATTGAGCAAATAGATTGAATCCATGAATTAGATTGCAGACAGAAAAAGTTATTTTACCATGAGAAACAGATTTTACCTAGAGAAACATATTGCACCCAGGGGAACAGATTTTTAAAAAGGGAAACTAATACTAATAGAAAACTAGGAACTATATTGAGAAACAGGGTAAACAAAGGAGAACAAACACAGGGAAACAGACCGAAACTTGGAAAACAGATTGAAACCTGGAAAACTGATTACATAACAATGGGCTGCCCCTTAAAGGGGGTCCCACACCGCTGCCCATACAAGAGTGGTCTAAACTTAATCTATGCCTAAAAGTACAATATTAAATTTTGTGTGTAATTTAGTGTGTAATTATCGTAATGATGAAGTGAACAAAAACGTCTTAAGCTGATTCTTATATATGCTGAGGGAAGTACTTCGTTTAATGTTATCTGGTAACAGATACCATAGGTGTGGTGCAGTGGCTGCAAAAGAACGTTTTCCCCAGTTGTTGTGTGTGCGTGGTTCATAGAGCAAATTTTTGTTGTTTGATCGTAGACACTCACGCCTTGGTTTGAGCGGTATAAGTAGATTTGAGATGTAGGCTGGAGCAGTACCAGTTTTTGTCCGATAAACATAGGTAAGAATCTTGAAAACGATTCTATCATGTATGGGCAGCCAATGTAATTGATGATGAATATTATGTAAAAAATTAAAATCCAATTCGGCTTTGTTCAAACGAAGAGTAATCTTTTCATATTTTCTTAATAAAGAAACTGGTAATCTTCTTGAACTGAAATCCTTGATAATAGAACCAAATGGAATTTAATATTGTGACTCATTATGAAAACTTTTTTGTAGACATTGAGCAAATAGATTGAATCCATGAATTAGATTGCAGACAGAAAAAGTTATTTTACCATGAGAAACAGATTTTACCTAGAGAAACATATTGCACCCAGGGGAACAGATTTTTAAAAAGGGAAACTAATACTAATAGAAAACTAGGAACTATATTGAGAAACAGAGTGAACAAAGGAGAACAAACCCAGGGAAACAGACCGAAACTTGGGAAACCGATTGTAACCTGGAAAACTGATTAGATAACAAGGAGAATTATTCCTTGCAGGAAAAATGAAATTGAAACCGAGGAAATGAAACCCAGATATGAATTAAACATAGGGAAGGGTCATAGGTCTAATGAAAGAGAGTACAGTTGACAATGAATGTACCTGTAGGTAGTATAACAATAACACATTTACAATGTATATTTAAATTAGTAATTCATGCAGCATATTCCACTTCTAAGAATCTATACACACAATACCCAAATACATAGAATACAATATGTACAGACTAGATTTTAAAGTAAATATATGTACATGCTATGTACAGTATACACTCAATATACTATATACACAGTGCAAGTGGCTGAGATATTAAATATTAATAATTGCTAAGTTACCATTGGCTTGAGTATTAACATCAGCCTGATGGTCCAAGAGAGCTGTGACACATTCATTTTGTTTAAAATGAACTGCATACATAAGAGCAGTCCTCCCCAATGCATCCACATCATCCTTACGATTTGTATCTATGAAAAAAAATGAAAATGAAGAGTAGGTTAAATATGAGAGCCACTATTTAAAAAATATGTACTGTATGAGTACAATTTTTATCATAAACACCTTTTATAAAATGGATTATTCCATCATAATTACTGAAGTGAATTATAACCTGACCTTGTGCATTGAGCCATCTCTGTTGCTATGATATAATAAATGACAACAAAACCTATTCAAAGCTGTAATCATAAGGTTAGCTTAAAAATCAATAGTACAATGGAGCCATTTGACACAAAAAAAAATATTATATAATTTTAAATAAAAGAGTAGTTCAATCTAATCATAAGGCTGCAATACAAAAACCTAGAAAAAAAAAAGCATGTCCTAAGGGGCAAATAATAATAATTCAGTTGATAGAATACTTGAACAGTAACCAGAAGGTCTTGGTTCGAATCCCCATGGGGACAAATGTTTTTCTCAAGTATTTACAATCATTTACAAGGTTAGTTTGATCAATATTAAAACTGTGTCATATTGAAATATTTTAATTTTCATAAAGCTGCAAACATCTGTAAACTTTCATTACTTAGTTTTTAACATTTAATTTGTTTTGTTTTAGTTTTCATTAACAGCCTGTCATAACACAATGAAAAAGAAAATTATACTCTCTTATTTCTTTCTTTACATGGATGGATGCCTAAATAAATTCAAGGACGTTTAAGCCTAGACTATCATTAAAAAATATGGCTTTCTTACTTTTTAAATGACAATGATGAACATAGCATAATAATACTAATTTGTAGTTACTGTATAATTTAATATATTCCTAATGCTAGTTCTCATGACAACAGTCCTTTTTCAAATAATACAGACCTATACTTTGTTTATGGGTGATTGTACTATTGTTTGTTAAAGGATCTATGCATAAGTAACAGCTTCAGGGCATTGGATACATTAATGGAGGTACAATAGGGATAATGAAACATGTACCCCTTTCTTCCCATTGTACAATTTAGAAGCATTTGCATTTTGATTAAGGAAATATATTACTAGATATAATAATCAATAAACCAGCAAATTCTACTCTATGCTATGTTATATATACCGCAGCAATGGTTATTTATTTTGTATTTTAGATCTCAAATCAATTTGCATTTTCATAAACTGAAACAATAATGAACCCCAAACATTGATTCAAGTGTTAAAATCTCAATAAAAATTTACAATAAAAATGTGGTGTAAATTGTGGATACTTCAATATATTTTTATAATGGAGTGAACATTAAAGGCTGGCCTTGTGCTAGTAGAAGCAGGTGAACAAGCCCGCCAGAATCCTAGCAACCCATTGACCGATCCACCAAGTATTTATCTAATCATTGAAATAGTTGCATTTCTGCCTCTCAACCTTCAGGTGGTCAGAGGTTCGAACCTTAACTGATTATTACACTTGTGTCCCAGAGCAAGGTACTTTATCTATCTTTGTCTCTCTCACCACGGAGCATAAAAGGGTACAGACTAGTAGGATGTTGTGGCAACGTTGGTCTACTCTGCACTGAAAATGCAACAAATGCTTCCCAGGAGTGAAGCGGTTCGATAATTTATTCACCGATTGGATAACAATAACCACACTGCCAATGCCTTCTATCCCTTGGCAAAGGGCATGGTATACCATTATTATAAATTGAAGTTGAAAATATACAATTTAACAATTTTTATAATTTACTGATATTATTATTATTACAGTATGCTACAGTATATATTGCCAGTGGAGAATTTCTGTGTATTCAGACAACGATAATAATGATCTTGTATCTTGATTGTCCCTCATAAAGTTAGTATCATGAAACATTTCAGTCCAACCAGTTTTATCAGTTTCAACCATAGCTAAGAACATTCCTGATGATGACATAATTAATGTCAAATATTGAATCCCTACACCATGGCGTGCATTTCGATACTTGGAGTATGTATTATACTATCTTAAAGCTAGTTACGGTACCATATTTCCAACAATTCTTTTGAAAACTGTAAATTATAAATGTTCTTATTTTTGTATCTTATATCATCGCCTGTGATCATCAGGAACGATTGTGCACAGCATATAAACTAGATGTGAAATAATCAACAGTCGTTCCCATAATACCATACAAAATGACAACGCCACAAGCGTAGCATTTTTCACTAGTCACGGTAGCGAGAGTTAATGAATCGTAAATGAGAAACTACATGCCCGGCATACAAAATGTCATCACGGTATCCATGGAATGAACTGCATGTTCAATATTTTTGTCCACTTGCTTCCAGCCAAATCCTTGCACAATTAATACAAGTTGAGTTTACTCAATACTGTTTTTTCTTACAATAACATGAGATTTATTATTCTACTTGCCATTCTGCATTCCTATTAAATGTACAACATGATAATGAGAACACACACTGTTGTATCAATATTAGTTTGTGTACCTCTTTGATAATCAGCTCATTTCTATTAATAAAACATAATATTATTATTAATTTATGAATTATATTTAAAACATTATGAAGATACTGTGTGCCAATAATTATTATTTTCTAATAATTCTAATATTCAACTGATTCATAGAAGATAAAAAAAATTATTTGGGGGAAAATCTTAATATTTTCTTGCCATCTTGTCCCTCCTGTCTGTTCCTATTACTATACAGTACAAATGCAAGGTAAAATCTATTGGATTATTATCAACACAGGCCTATTGAATGCAATTTACCTATAGAGTACTACAGTGTTACGTCACGATACCATGTGGCACTACTCCGTTGCTATCGTTACAAAAAGCGTTCAACCGGACGTCATTTTCTTCACTGACAAACCACTGATCCCAATTTCTAACGTAATTATTAAGATGTTGTATCTTACTTTTTCTTTGTAAATTTTAATTGATGATTAAATGTGTGTTCAATAACTAATATAACGTGAGCTTTGTGTTTTTAGTACATTTTGATGGTAAAATATTAGATTTTATAATGCCTATTCCAGAAAGCTTATGAAGTCATTCAGATGTAGTGAACGGTAACTAACATCCGTGACGACAAGTCTGTGGTACTCTATATCCAACTGGTAGAATATTCTGAACTAAGTTTAGTAGAATATATTCTTTTAATTGATTCGTAATCACTACCCTATGGGATAAAGTATTGACATGGTTGGCAGCAATCAATACTAACTATATTTATTCACGATGAATTGAATGACTGGCGCATGGTCAAATATACAGTACTGTACAACAATTCACATGCCTATCCAATAATGAACAATGCACTTTACACTACACATACTGTAGCAGTACTATTACACAGCTGTACATCTTCAAGGAAGTACCTTAAGATTATTGTCTGCCAAAAAAATAATTATTTAACATAAATTTATGAGTGTTAATGTTAAACTCTTGTATTTTTTGAACTGGTGATTTTTCCTTTGATGTTTGTTTTTGTATGCTTTTTTATATTTATAAAATGTAAATTCAATTCTTATTCTTATTGTAAGTTGCGATAAAGATAATTTTAAATTGAAATTGAATAGCTCATTTAAAAGTATCAAATAAGATATTAATTTCCAACCAGAGCAAGATTGGAAAAAAAAAAATAGTTTTCACTGATTTACAGACATTTTACTAAATAAAAAAAACTTCAAACCAATGCAAAATAATACAGGAAAAACTATTATTTAGTAATAATAAAAGTATTATTTAATCATATGTTAATTGACAGAGAAACTTTTTTCAGTACAGTAAGTAGGCAAATTAAAATGGAATTATACATTTCAATTTCTCAAGACAACATTTAATTAAACTGTACATCAGGATGATACCATGGCACAGCATGAGTGCATTTTTTCAATATTGTAATTAAACCCCACGTTTCAGGATTGATGATTTATCAACTTATTTCGCTTCCTTGCCATAGGGTACATTATCCTCGCAATAATGGACTGCACTTTTATGGGCCTTACAGTACAAGACATAATTTGCATTTATAGAATAAAAGCATTTGTTTAATCAAATCTTTCTTTATTCTGGAAGTACTCTTTCAATACATAATTACTGGTCTCCCAAGAGGTCCAGACACAACATAAAATAAATAACAAATAAATATATAAAAATCAAGAAAGGAGGTAACTAAATACAATTCTTAAAGTAAGGGTGTCAAATTTGCAGCGGATATCTAATGGGGGCTCATTCCATAATTTACTAATTTATTTATTAATTTAATTAATTTATTTAATTTAATGACACCAACCTACAGTACGCCAGTAGGTATACTGTAAAGGCCAAGCAAAATGTAGTTTCTTGTCTAACCTTATTTGAAAAACGGAGGATTTATAATAAATGTCAATGCCTCGAATCAAGTTGTCATGGTAACCTCAATTCTAACCAACAAAGTAGAGGAATATGAAGATTACCATTATTTGTAATTCGCTATTCCAGCAACAAATTGAATTTTTAACATTGTCAATTCAAATCTTTTTCTGTAACATATAGCAAACAAGGATTTACCTTTTTGTTTCCAAATAAATGAATAAAAATTAGAGCAAAGTATATTTAATTGTTATTTACAAAATATTTTAATGCTAAAGTAATGTGTGTTTACATAACAGTAAAATTCAACAACAATAAAAATGTAATAAAATTTATATAAAAGTATTATAGTAATATAAGGCATCTTCTATGGTTTCATCATGCAATTAAGAATTAAAATTTAATGAAAATTAAGGATTAATGCAGCAAGTATAACTACGTTAATTAAAATAAGAAAAATGCATGCACAAAACTACCTCATTAAAAATTCGGGAATTTTCAGAATACATTTTGAAATTTACAGTTTACTATTTCAATTTCACCGATGAATATTGATATCCAGTCAGCATCAGCCAAAATGTCTTTTAAAATGTAACAAAAATTTGGAATTGGACTCTATAAGAGATTTATTATTTTACATAATTTATTCCATTTCTATTTCTGAGATAGAATAAACAGTAACGTTTACAATGTCGGTATTGCAACTCTTAACAATATATTTACAAGAACCATTCCTTTGGTCCCTCAGAAAATCAATAATTATTTTTTATTTTATACAAAGGATACAATATAATTGTCAAAGGCCAGAGAAAAAATACATTAGTATAGCTTAGTTTATCATGCTGGAAAATTCATTGTGTGATTTTGCAATCTTTTTTCATTATGAACTGATGGTCTTGTGTAATGCTAGATTGTGATATTTACATTAATTATGCTATCCAACATTTTTCATTCATATCCACAAAATAATGGAATAAATCTTAACATGTCTGTGATGCTGAATTGCTAAACTGATTGTACTTTAATTGCTTTATGCGCAATAAAATGTCCACTTTTACAAACTGCGTCAGCTGATAGTCAGACAATCTGATTCCACGTAGACTGAGATACGACGAGGGGCATAAATAAATATTAAAGAATGATGATGATATATATTAACAGAGTGATATAGAATAAACCTAGGTTTTCCAGGAGTGAACTAGCGACCCTGGGCAAAAGTACAGTAAATCTAGCACCAGCATCTCAGTGCAAATTTCCAAAAATAGACAGTAAATTTTATGATTCAAAGAAATTTGAGCCTCTAAAGATGTTGTCGCAGTGCAGGTCTACCATGGTTGGTCCACCAGGAGACAATTTAAATCATGTGGGTAATGACTTCTTTTCCATGCTTATGTGTATGTCACCAATGATTTAGTGTCACCCTCAGTACCAGGTACAATAATTAGAGCAAAGTCTTACACAAACAAGAATGACATTGGAAGGTCTCTCCATCTAAAAATCCACTCCCTTTAATTGCACTACAGTAACTCACCTTGAACTTACATCACATGCATGGCTTACTGATTTATTGTACACTGTACAAAGAATTAATCAATAATTATTAATTGAACAAAAATCCTAACCAACCTTTTTCCAACAGTTGATTAATTAGCTCAACATCACCCTCTTTGGCAGCTTGTAGTATAAGGGACATCGTCTGTATACCATCCGACGGTAAACTCTTTGAAAGTCCTTTCTGACTATGTAAATCCACCCATTTCCATTGGAACTGGTCTGGGGCATCTTGATAAGGAGTCAATGGACTGAGAGCCCGTGACATGGAACCAGACGACTGTAGTTTCGTACTAGACTGACGTTCTTGCATTCGTAGCCACACTGTTTTGAAGTATTTCTTCATGTGCAGTAACACGAGATTGAACCCATCTCGAAGTTCGGCACAATCCTCATCTTCAGGTAGTTTCAAGAGAAACTCCTTGATAAAAGTCACAGCCTTCTTAAAATCTGGCAAGAAAGCAACATTAAAAAATAAATAAATGTAATAACTCTTTAGAAGGTGATGCCTAAATTTAGGTCCACTGAAGGGGGAAAGTTTGTTAGAGCGGGCAAGTTTGTTAGGGTGTGGTTTGTAGGGGGCATCTTTGTAAAGTTGCGGGAAAGTTTGTAGGGGCAGATATTGAGATGTAAGGGGCAGGGGGTGGGGGTGAGTTGACTGGAGTCCTTAAAAAGGCAAGAGTTATTTACATATTCTTTTGACCTTCTTTCTAGTGATAGTATGTAGGCCTAGGCTAGGTCTATTGTTTGAAACAGTCTCACTACCTGCTGTTGACCTGTCATGTTAGCAGGTCAAAACAGCAATAAACCAACACGGCAATGACAAAAACGGCAATAACCAAAACGGCAACAAACCAGAATGGCAATGACAAGTACCAAAACGGCAACAGGCATAAACCAAAATGGCAAAGGAGTAAAATCGATGCCAACACTTAGCAAGCACACCGCAGGGCGCGGACAGCAGTTTTAATTTTCTGAATCGTCTTGAAATTGACCCGATCGTCTGTAGGCAAATCAAATGCTGAACTCTTTTTCCCACTTTTAATGTTTAATCGCATTTCTTTATTTTTTATACATCCATGGCGAATTGTTCAGATGCCTCATTTTGTCTGTATTTTAAAGTTTTATTTATTTGAATATTTACTGCTTATTGTGTTTTCCCCAATCCTTTATTATTGAATTTGTATGTTGTTAATTGTTATTATTATTATTATTATTATTAATTTTGTTTTTTTCACATTGTTTTACTTTTGACATAAATGGTTTTAGCCTAATTTTGTCTGTATTTTAATGTTTTTTTATATATTTAAAATTTTTACCGTATTTAATCGTTGTACATTATTAATATTATTATCATCATTATTAATAATTATTATTATACATATTTAAATTTTTACTGTATTTAATCATTGTACATTTTCATGATTATAATTGGTATTATGTAGGACCAAATTGGAAATAAGTTTTACTTTTTAAAGAAAACTTTCACAGGCCATTCTTGCATCATCTTTTATTGCTATTTATATCCTGCCTAGTGCAAATTTTATCTGTTTTGTACAACATTTTGATGATGTGAAATATACTGAACTAATGACATACCAAAATAAATATTGAATCAGAATTTTTGATGTGTTGCTGTTTTGGTTTATTGCCGTTATGGTTTATTGCGTTTTTGATTTATTGCCCATTTGGTCCACTCACTGCCATTCTGGTAAAATAGTGTTCTGGTTTATTGCCGTTTTGACTAGAAAGCCCTGTCCTGACCAATTATTTATATTAATTTTATACATTATTAATTTCGCAGTGGCTAGAGATACGGTACCATATTTCTACTTCAATTTGCTAAGGGTACGGTAAAAGAAATGGCATTTAATACATCACCATCACCCAATGAAGAGCCAGAAAGAATATGACTAAACTAAACTTTAGTTTAGTTTTTTAGTCTAAAGGAGGTGGGGGGGGGGGCTAGGTAGGGACCAAGTATTACAGTATTAGATAGTAGGTCGCCCTACCGATGGAGGTATTAGTACCGCCATGCCCTACCATAGGCAACAGCAACTAGCTCTACTTAGGCTAGGCCTAGGCCCAAGTCTGCCTCATGAAGGAAGGTAGCACTGCAGGTGAGGCCATTGCGGCCCTCTCTGCACAGAACTGCCTGATGAATAGGAAAGTGAGGCACCATACCTTTTCCTTTTATCGCCATAATGTCAGACAACCAAGTGCACTAAGATTGAAATAAAAGACTAGTCCTACATCCTGTTTACACATCGCCATAAACTGTGTCATTGAAATAAGAAATCAGCAGCTGTTTGAAATATATTTTCACTGTTTCTAGGCCTTGGAAACCTCTTCTCTCTTGAATTTACTGTACCCGTCGTGCATTTTTACTACACGGTAAACAAATGTTTAGACTCGTCCAATATTATATGGGGTGGCTTCAGATCAAAGATCTTATAAACACAAGATAGCGTTCACCGCGATTTACGCGTGCAAATTCTGTAATAAGGCATGAATGGCGCCCTCTTGCTAAATTGGAAACTTTTGACCTTTGACCGCTATGACCATACCGTACTGTGAACAGCAGAACAGGAACCATCTCAAATCCATGGCAACAGATAGGACGCCCTCTTCCAAAGCTTATTACTTTTTCTCCATAGAGCTATTAAACAACTAGAGTGCTGACAAGATGGCGGAGCAATGCAGAGTTGTGTATGTGTACCATTCAAGATGGCTGCCGTAGGAAAGCGCCGCCTTCAGGCTTAGTATACATATTATTACCATAAATAAGCCCTCTGACTGAATATTATTTCATTAATGGTAATTAGTATTGATAATGACAAATTATTAAACTGTCGTAGCCAAAAAGAGGCCAAATAGATCATCTTATTCAAATATTAAAAAGAATTGAAATCGTGTACATTACACCCATACACCGCAACGCTCGAGTTTCAAAATACGGGTAACTAGCTGTACTGAACTTTCTGTGTAAATTGAGGGCGCAATTGAAAATGATAGTGCTCAGGGGAAATTTGATTGGCTGAATCTATGGCAGCCATCTTGGATGGTACACACACATAGCTCTGCGTATTTCGAACATCGAATACATTGCTGTTAGCGCTCTAGTATTCTTATTATATCTCTATGTTTTTCTCTTTGGTATAATAGCGCATGAATGACGCCCTCTTGTTAAATTGGAAACTTTTGAACCTTGACCGACGCTTCTATTTGTTACGCGTAAATCGCGGAGAACGCTATCTTGTGTTTATAAGATCTTTGCTTCAGATTGATTCCAGATCTGATGGCGCTACATTCGCAAACCAACTTCGGCTCTGGAGCCATGCTGAAGTCAACCTGTACTGTAGGCCTACAATTTTAATAATAATAATAATAATAATAATAATAATAATAATAATAATAATAATAATAATAGATGGATTTATATAGCGCAAATAAACGAGGTCTCTATGCGCTTGGGACTAGATGTTTCATTGAATTTTGGTGACGATCTGGAGAAGGGTGTGGATATGAAGACCATTAAAGAGAAACGTCCCCAGTCTCAACAACTGATCAACTGATCTGAATAAAACTTCAGCGAGAGGTCGCAGGTTCGAATCCCGTCGGAAGGATTTTATTACACAATGACTTTTATAGGACTATTCGTTGAAAAGCTACAGGGTAGTCTACGATGTTCCATCATGTCCTTATTAAACACTGTATATGTACCTTTGATGATTTATATTATATTCATTCAACAGTGTTAACGGCTAACTTTCTTCAATACCATATATAATATACGACAGTGTTCTTAGCCGTATTGCCAGATTTATCTGGCCGAACGCCCTCTTGAGGCGTAGCATTTTGTAAAACAATGTTCCCGACGGTTATTTGGACCTGTTCAACCATGAAACCTTCGTGGTATAGTGGTTATGACGCTCGCCTTGTCAGCGAGAGGTCGCAGGTTCGAATGCCGTCGGAGGCATTTTATTACACACTGACTTTTATTAGACTTTATTCGTTGAAAAGCTACAGGATAGTCTACGATGTTCCATCATGTCCTATTAACAAAGGCAACAAGTCATACTTATTTGTCTGTTTTGTATCCTTCAAAAGCTGCCTTCGATACAATACGGCGAAATGCACTTTTTGTTAAACTTAACAACATGGGTGTTAGCGGTAACTTTTTAAATATTTTGCGTTTCTCCATAAAATGTAATAATAAGCTGACAGATACGTTCTCTGGGCGTTAAACAGGGATGCAACTTAAGTCCGCTTTTATTCAATCTTTTTTTACATGATTTGCCTTCAATATTCAACATCGCATGTGATCCGGTTAGCCTGAATGGTTCTTCTCTTTCCTGTCTTTTATACGCGGATGATCTTGTGATTATAATAATAATAATAATAATAATAAGGTAAGAACTTATATAGCGCCATTAAAAAAAACCGAAGTAATTATCAGTGGCGATTCATGTTATTGTTGGAATAAGTGCGTTTTGAGTGATTTTTTAAATAAAGCAATTGATGTTGATTTTTTAATGTGAAATGGTAGTGCGTTCCAGAGTGTGGCTGCAGCAAATAAAAATGATCTGTGTCCGAAGGTCTTAGTGTTGGTGCGAGAGACACGTGTTGAACTGCAAAATGCCTTAGATAAGTTAAACATGTATTGCGATAAATGGAAATTTACGGTAAATATAAACAAAACTAAAGCAATGATCTTTAACTAGAGTGGTAGAAAGTTAAAAAGCTTTGCTTTCCGTTTTGACAATAAGGTTATAGATGCTGTAGATGAATACTGCTATCTTGGTATAAACTTTACTCCATCTGGAACTTTTAAAAATGCTATGAATTTGTTGAAAAGCAAAGCCTCAAAGGCATACTTCAAAATACGAAGTAATATTAGGGAAAATTGTACCATGAAGCTTTTTAAATCATTAATTCTACCAATTCTATCATATGGTAGCGAGGTATGGTCTATGTATCTACTTACCGGGCTTAACCATAATAATCTACATTCGATATGTATCAATTATTGTGGCGAACAGATTCATATTAAAATTTGCTTTGTTTTACTTGGTGTTAATAAACGAACTACAAACAACGCAGTCATAAGTGAACTAGTTGCTACCCCGTGTTAATATCCATGTTTAGTCATGCTGTTAAATATTGGCATTCTCTAAATGAAATAAAAAGGTGCTATTGATGCTTTAACTGATAATAGAAAACTTGACGATTCAAACAAATATATATATGGATATACATGGTCGTCTGGTATTTCATCTTTACTAAACATGATAATGCTAATTTATTTTTATCCTGATGTTTATTGTAAGTAACAAATGCTTAAACAAGTGGATAATAAGAGTGGGAGCTTTCCACATGAAAGATAAAAAAAAATCTTTACTAAATGAATGTATCTTAGATGTTTGGATTAAACCAAACACGTTCAGTATAGCTAATCTCAATACACATATTACTGATTCGTTAAAAGATAACTTCTCTAATCAATGGTTATATAGTATTAATAACACTCAAAACAAGCTACTGTACGTACTTATTGTAAATTTAAAACTATCTTTGCGAAAATTATTGTTTATTTTTTAAGAGAAGTTTTAAATCGTATTACAGTAAACTGGGAACCAGTGCTCCCAATCTAATGATTGAGAGAGGTCGATATACTAGACCAACAATTAGTCCCGATGAGAGAATATGTAACAATTGTAATTCTGGTGAGGTAGAGGATGAATTGCACTTTTTAATAAACTGCCCTCAATACTCTAACCATAAACACTTTATTTTCGAACGTTAGGGATAGTATAAACAACTTGGATAGCTTAAATGACTATGATAAATTCATTAGTCTCATGAGTAGTCAAGATTTTGACATTTTGCTGCCTATCCTCAAATTCACACGAGCTGTTTTTATGGAGAGGGAAGTCTCTGGAATCTAGTGCTTCTTGTATTGTCTCGTTGTAATTGTATTTCTTTAATGTTGTTTTATCAAGATGTTTGATATATCAATAAAGTAACCAATCTAAAATCTATTATATTATATATTATTATTAATATATTATATAATTATATTATATCTAGGCATATTATATATATATTATTACATATTAGGCCTATGTATTATATTATTACACTGTTATGCATGTGCCTATAAAACGAACATTGAGAATTCCAAAACCAAATGTCCAATACTATCTTAATTTTGATTTGTGATAGACTGTTATATAACTATCATTAAGATAAAAAAGAAAAATATGGATCTTTGTTTTGGGTCTTCAGTCGTCGGTTTTCGTTTTATAGAACGAATGCATTGGTAATGCAGTGTTTCATTGTTCGCACAAGACGCTAACTCAATCTCAAAGCAAGCAAATCATCATTATATAGTGAAAATTACGTTTTTGTGTCTTTTTTACGACCGCTAGGTAGTCACAGACCACGCCTATACGCAATTCAGCACAATGACGCTGTGAGTTATGGATTATTCTCCTACCTTTACTTTACCCTTCTATAGCTATGTTAATAATGAAATATATAAAATATATTTAAATATACAATTTAAAATATCATAAAAATTCTCTTGCCATTCATTGTTTTTACCATGTTTTTGTGACAGCACGCGTTTGAGTGTTGCTGAAAGTTTCGTATCTTTTTTACGACTGCTAGGTAATCACAGACCACGCCCATACGCAATTCAGCACAATGACGCTGTGAGTTATGGATTATTCTCCTACCTTTACGGTACTTTACCCTTCTATAGCCATGTTATTAATGAAATATATAAAATATATTTAAATATACAAATTAAATTTCATAAAAATTATCTTACCATTCATTTTTTTTACCATGTTTTTGTGACAGAACGCGTTTGAGTGTTGCTGAAAGTTTCGTAAAATGCGTTACGGAAAAACAATAGTCGACCCCAGTAAATTAGTGGATTGATCATCGAATTTTTAATCGTAATAAAATGTGAGATAATATAGATATATATGTAAGGTATCAAAACGCAAATTACCAAATATGGTAACCATGATATAATGGAAAGTCCAATTATAATTGAAAATGTCTTCAGAAGTTTCTTCGATCTGCTAACGTCGTGGACGCCTATAACATCAGTAAGACGTTTATCATACTTACATATGTTCTGATAGAATATGAGATAGAAAATAGCGGTTGCTTTCATACTACAGCTCGTTGAAAATATTTTCTACGAGTGTTTTTCCTTTAGTTAAATAGAAGTAATAAAATGGTTGTATAACCATAGACAAATACAAGCAATCCAAAGACGTTTAGTAGTGACGACGCTTGGGTAATGTAAAGGCATAAACACCAGTGCAAGTGATCTCTCCACTGCCACGGCTGTAACATTCAAGAC